TATAGTAATTTATATATAGAACCGCATCACGTTTCACTATGATCATTCTTCAGTTGACTGGAGAATCGTCAATTAAATATTAAATTTATGATTCAAGCTCAACAATTTTGTATAAATCATCCTGATACACATTATGCTTCAGCACTTTTACGATATCAAAAAGAATTAGTAGTAAAATTTCATGAATATTGTTTATTTTATTTTCTTGATGAAAAGCATCGTTGTAAAGTGGATGAACCTGGATACCCAGTAGCAGCAGTAGAATGTGGAAAACAAGTTTTAGTTGGCTTAAATGAAACCTTTTTAGTTAGTGATCATGATTTTACTAAAGTTGAAATTATTCCTAGTGTTATAATGAAATGCAATATTCCAGAATCAATTGATAATTCATTCTATAAAGATCGGGTATTTATAGCTTTAAAAGACCTATATTTGAAGCATCATCTTCTTTACGTCATTCAACAGAACTTTTTCATATTATTGAAAATTATGATATTAATTTACCAATTTTATTTCTATATATGGATGGGGGACCTAATCATTGTATTAACTATTTATCTGTTCAAATTTCTCTTATTTCTCTTTATTTATCTCTCAATCTTGATTATTTAGTAGCTGTAAGAACACCACCAGGCCATTCATGGAAAAATCCTGTTGAAAGAATTATGTCTATATTAAATCTTGGACTTCAATGTATTGGATTAATGTGCAAAAAAATGTCAAAAGAATTTGAACAAATTTTAGAACGTTGTAATTCAATTAAAGATATTAGAGAAGCAGCTAAAAATTATCCAATTCTTCAACAAGAATTAAATAATAGCTTACAACTAGTAAAAGAACTTTTAAATAGTATCTTTCCTAGCAAAATTTAAAAAATGAACCATTTACACCTATAGATGCTGCAACAGCTGAAGATATTAATCAATTATTTGATGCTATTTTAAGATTAGATCAAACTATATTAAAAACTGATAAAACCTGGAAATCTGTTAAAAATAAGGTAATACTTTAAAATTATTGGTTTTATTATGTTTTTATTATATTTTTATTTAATATTTTCTTATTTTAATAGCCGAAATTTAATGCATTTTTTGAGCATTGTTGTCAGTCACAGCATTATTTTTTTTTCAATAAAGAAGTGTGGGAAAAAAGAGTGTGATATTTGTGAGCCTATAAGGCTTCCACAAGATATTTTTGACCAAATTCATCATTTCCCAAATCCAATTCCGGGAAAAGATGATCATTATGCTTCTTTAGATGATGTATATGGTAAAAATACTACTGAGATTTATCAACCTTTACTTACAAATAATAATAACAAAAAATTTCAAACAAAATTAAAAAATAAAAATAGTATGCCATTTACTGGTACAGCACAAAGAGCAAAAAATGTTGGAGTAACAGTTATGTGTTCAGAATGTGAAAGATGGCAATTGTTTTATTCCAAACAAAAACTAAATGAACAAGAAAAAAAATTGCTACTTGCATTTTTGGATACTATTGAATATTCTTGCAGATCATTGTTTTATAATGCAGAAAACCTTTTTGGAATTCAAAAGCAAATTTCTTTACAACCAATTAATGAATTAGAATTAGAAAATAACTCTGAGTCTGAATTCATAGTTACCAGATTAAAATCAAAAAGTAAAAAGCGAGTTAGTAGTGAAATTGAGTCAAGTAATAGCGAACATATTGGGAATAATTCTGATGATTCATTAAACCAAAATATGCAATATTCGGATTCAGAAATTTGGAAAAATTTATTTTATGCAAATACTGATATTAATAATAGTGAATTCACATATAGTGAAGAAAGTGATTATTATAATGATGATAAACTGGCAAATAGTAAAGCGAATGTTGATGACTCTAGTGAATCTATAATTAATGAATTAATAAGTGGTGAAGAAAGTAATTATGATAATAATGAACTAGCAAATTGTGAAGTGAATGATAATGATTCTAGTGAATCTATAAATAATGAATTAGTAAATAGTGAAGAAAGTGATTATGATTCCGAAACCAAAAGTTTATTAAGCCTTGATGCTGACAAAACAATGATTAAACAGTTATTTGAAAAGTTGTTTATAAATGATGGATTAACATGTAATTCTCCGATGGAAAAGGCTTATTACTCTGCCCAAATATTTTCATTACTATGTTTTAATTGCGGTGATACTGATATTGTTACTCCAATTCCAGCTACTCAATATCCATTATGCACAGAATGTACACAAAAAGGTGTTAAAACACCAACTCGTGGAAAGTCCTTAAAATTTATAGCACGTATTCACAAAAACAAAAAAAAGTTAGTACAAAAACAAAATTTTAAATTAAATTCTAATTATATTAAATAAATATATTAATTAATTATATTGTTTTATAGACAGCTTGATGATAATTAAAAATAGGCTATTTATAATAAATAAACTTCTTTTATAATTAAATACATTAAATATTCGTTCATATTATAATAGTTACTAGTTAAATATCATATTATTAAATTAGGTCATATATATTTTATATTTGTATTAGGCAAATGTTGTTTTTTTTTTAAATCAGATTTATTAAATTTTTAAAATATATATTAGTATTATCATTTTAAACCAAATTGTTTTTATAAAAAAAAAAAAAAAATTTTTTAAGTTTTTGCAAAATTTGGGTCGGCGGGTAATGTTAAACAAAAAATTTATTTTGTGTGGCCTTATAGAACTCCTTAAGCTTAAAATCATCCTTCAATAGTTCGTGATATATTCAAATATTTGTGATTTATCAGCTTTTTATTTTCGGTGGAACTTCTAACTTTCAGTAGATTTGTAATGTATTTTTTTTAAGAGTGAGGCCTGCCTCGGTCTTTATTGAATAATGATGTGTTACATTGTTTAAATAGGTACATGAATTATTATAGAGATCTACAGCTAGAACTAGTTTATCCTCGGCCCAAAACTCTACTAGAGTGGGCTATCCGGACTCCACTAGATAGATATATTTGTTGTGGGGAAGATCCTTGCCCATTTATTATATTTGATTACTAATGTGTAGGGGGATGAGTGGGGGAGTAATGGTGTTAGTATCTAGTAAAAGTCTATTTTGATATAATTTTTAATATTATTTCTTAATTTCTGATTTAATATAAAAATACTCATTAATGTTCCAAAGATAAATAAATAATGTAAATAATGTAAAAAGATGTAAAACTGGCTTATCTTTTTTAATATATATACATAGAATTTGAAATAAATTTTTATTATATTGCATATATATCATTTGAATACATTATCTCTATATATACAGTAGTTTTATTACTAGCTCTGCTGTTTTGCAATTATTAACTAAAGTTTCTTCTTTCTTAACAACAACCAATTCGGTACGTTGAATAGCTGGAATCACTGGGTGAGGTAATCTACTGCTTAATTCAAAGACCACTATTTGGGAAGTTTTGTGCTTTACAAATAACTATTTTATAAGTAGTACATTTGGTCCTATACTAAGTATTCTTTGACTACCTCATAGCACTCGCTCAAATAAAATTTTGCATTTCACAGCTCATTATTAAGTGGAGTAGAATTAGACTTTCATTCAAGTCTTGTGCACGTGACTTCGATATTTGTGCTTCCAGTTTAGACTAAAGATGCCTGACGAAATTATTTTGCGATGACAAAATGGTTTCGTCATGGTTTCGTCATGACGAAACCTTGACGATTGATGAAACCCCTGACGATTAACGCAAACTATGATGAATTGACGAAATATATGACGAATTGACGAAATATATGACGAATTGATGAAACTATTGCCGAATTAATTTGATAACAACGATATACAGTAGACTTTCTTTCGACAAGCTTCATTATAACGATCTCTAAATATTAAATCTTTTTAAAAGTAACATTATTTTATTAAAAAGTTTCATTAGATTAGTTTATAACTGTACACATATTTCGCGAACAATACAACTCCCTAAAAAGGGGTACGTTTAAAGCCGTGTGCAATCATATAATTTTGAGTTTGGGTGAGGAGAAATTTTATAGTAAAACTGCTTCCCCGTCATTTTTTATTAATGCCCCAAGGTAGGTTTAGACACTCGTTTCTTGTATTTTTATCTTTTTTTTGTTGTCGAGCTGATCCATGTCGATCAAAACAAAGAATTTCAGTCAGAGATTTTTACTAAATTAGGAAATCACATTCTAGAATGATCTCTGTGTCATTCTGTGAATTTATTAGCCGTGTAACATTTTTTATCAACGTGGGATCATTTGATATTTTATTTTTTATTCGATATTAAACGATATACAATTAGCTAATATAAGATGTCTACTTTAAATGATCCCACTTGATCCCTCGCAATAAGCCATTATAAAATGGTAAATGATAACAAATTTCTTTTCATTAATAAGTAAATTTTGTTGTGGTTAAATTTGATTGGTCAATTACACATGATTTTTGTACAACCAAATGATCTAGAATCATGTGATCAACATTTCTTTACCATACAAGGTGCGATCTACACTGTCCATATTTGACAAAATCCCTGACTGAATTTTATTGGATATATGTCATGTGATAGCGTGTGCCTCTAAACTTCCATCTTTGTTTATGAAATTATATTTGATTTTGAAAAATCTAGGTTTGGGCATTTTGAGATTAAAGATCTATATAAAATGTTCTCTGACATTTTTTATTAATACACCAAAGTTGGTTTAGTCTACTGCTTCTTGTATTTTCACATTTTCCTCTCTTTTTCACTTGTTTTGTTTTGTTGAAATCTGCCTTAGCCTACTCCTCTTTTTTGGGTTGTTTTACTTGTAAAAATAGTTTCTATCTCTTAATTTTTTTTTAAATTACTTTATAAAGTTTCACTACTTACATCTGTGCATATACAGTAAATTTTGATAATGAGCATAAATTTATGATGATTGATTTTTAGTTATTTTCGAGAGTAATATCAACCAAAAAGTAAATTAAATTTTGTAAACAAAGTGTGTAAAGGTAGAAATTTAGGGGTTATGTAAAATTTCAGCCATCATTTTTAATTAGTGCACCAGAATCATTTTAAATATGAGTACTGCCAGGGGAAAACCTGTCATTGGACTTTCCATTATATTTTGTGTCCAGTTTGTTCTCTGAGTGCCGTCTAAGGTAAATATACCATCGGACTTTCGATAATATTTGTAATGACTTGTTATAAAATATAATTAAAATCTGATGATAGATTTTCCCTAGACATCACTTAGAAAATAAACTGGACATAAAATATAATTGAAAGCCTGATGACAGGTTTTATCTTGGCAGCACTCATATAAATTTTCGAGTATTTTCACTTTCTTTTCTTCTTTTGCACATGTTCTGATTCTATTTAGTCACTCTTGATATAGTCGCAAATTAAAAAAAAAACTATTTTTGTTTTGCTAATCATTATAAAGCATAAGGAAATACCTTGCATCCTCTGATTGGCAATTCTTGCGAAAATAAGTGTATCAGTTATAATCTAATGAAACTTTTAATAAAATAATGTTACTGTTAAAGGATTTTAAAATTTAGTATATTTAGAGGTTTTCATAAAGAAGCTTGTTGAAAGGTGTCGACTGTATATCATTATGTTATCAAATTAATTGTCGCAGCTGATGCTGAAAACGACTGATGCTGAAATTTGGATCTATTTTGATATGAATTTTTTAAAATTTTTTGGGGTGTTTTTTTCCTGCTTTTTTTTTATAGTTGAGTTAGTGTTTAGGGTTAGAATTGATAATTAACAAGTATATGTAGATTTTAGCAGCACTTATATTTTTAAATCGAAACCCCAAATTTCAGCTTCAGCCGTTTTCAGCATCAGCTGCGACATTAATTCATCAGGGGTTTCATCAATTCGTCATATATTTCGTCAGGCTCAGAAACAGTTTAGTGTGTACAGGCACTATTAAAAATCTGCCGACGATTATCATACCAGAAAAAGTAAAACCGAACCGACGATCTATCCGAAATTACGACAAATAA